CATATCCAGCACCACAGCACTGAGGCGATGACTGAGGATAATAAGATCAATGCCCTCATTAAAGCAGCTGGTGTAATGGGTGAGCTTTTCTGGCCAGGCTTGTTTGCAAAGGCTCTGGCCAATGTTAACATTGGGAGTCTCATCTGCAATGTAGGGGCTGGGGGACCTGCCCCTGCAGCCAGTGCTGCACCAGCAGGAGGTCCTGCCCCCTCCACCGCTGCTGCCCCAGCTGAGGAGACGAAAGTGGAAGCAAAGAAAGAAGACCCTGAAGAGTCTGATGACGACATGGGCTTTGGTCTTTTTGACTAAACTGGCTCTTTTGTAACAGACGATAAAAGCTGACCTCTGTTTAAAAAAAAAAAAAAGAAAGAAAGAAAAAAAAGAAGGAAAGGTAAAAAAAGGGTATCACACCCTGGCCGGGTAGCTCAGTGGGTTAGAGCATCCTCCCAATACACAAAGGTTGGGGGTTTGATTCCCAGTCAGGGAACATACAAGAATCAACCAATGAATGCATAAACAAGTGGAATAACAAACTGAGGTTTCTCTCTCTCTCTTCCTCTCTCCAATCAATCAATAATTTTATTTTTATAATGGGCTATCACTGGGAGACCCATAGGAATGACAAGTTTATCAGGCCACAATAGCTGAAAAAGAGGCCCCTAGGTAGTTCTGGGGAGCAACCAGAGTGGCTTACCTAACTTTCAGCTTCCCTTCTTGGACACTGATAACAGTTCTTGCAAACTCCTTTTTTGTTGTGAACCCTCACCCAAGGATAATTTTTCCACTGAGTTTTAGAAAGAGTGGAAGGTAAGAAGGGGCCGGGAGAGAGAGAGAGGAACATCAATATGACAGAGACAGACCAATTGGTTGCCTCCTGCATGGCCCCCACCAGGCTGGGGATCCCGCAACCCTTCAGTGGGAGGGTCGATGTTGCAACCACTAAGCAACAGCAGCCAGGGTTGCAAACTCCTTGATATAGTCATTCATGCTTCCACAACTTTAGTATCTATTATGTTCAACAAACATGAATTCTAGAATCAAGCTGCCCACATGAAAACCTTGTACTGAGGCTTAGCAGCTTGGGTGACCTTGGGCAAGTTATTCAGTCTCAGGGAACCTACATTTCCTCATCTGTGAAGTGTGGAAATTAGAACCTACTTCCCAAGGTTATTGTGACGATCACGTGAAATAACACTAATATGGCATAACTGTGCCACGAAATAGTGACTACTCGATAAACATTAGCTCTGATATTCCCCAAGCTTAATCTTACTGGATTTCAAAAAAAAGGGCGGGGGGGGGGGGGGGTTGGTGAAGATGTGTGATCACCTTGTCCTTCCCCACCCCTGTTTTAAACTTTTTTAAAAAATATATTTTCTTGCTATCCTACAGAGAGGAAGGGAGAGGGATAGAGGGTTAGAAACATCGATGAGAGAGAAACATCCCCATCAGCTGCCTCCTGCACACCCCCTACTGGGGATGTGCCCGCAACCAAGGTACATGCCCTTGACCTGAATCGAACCTGGGACCCTTCAGTCCACAGGCCTACGCTCTATCCACTGAGCCAAACCGGTTAGGGCCCTACCCCTGTTTTAAAAGCCTCCTTCAGGTCCACTTCAGTTCTAACCTCCTCCAGCTCTTCAGTGCCCTCAGCAGCACCTGGATGTGGTCGCACTTGGCTCCCAGCATGACTGCTCAGAGCGTGGTACCAGACTATGCGGACTTACCTTGGGTGTGTTTCCACCATGACGCTGGCTCACGTACACAGTTCTTTGCTCTTGTATCTTCTTCCCTCCTCCCTACATTCTGTTTGCATTGGGGAAATGCAGTAACCGCTCCCATTAAAAGTTGACTCGCTGCAGATGGGTCACAGAGGCCCCCTTCCTACAGGTGAGACCACTCCCCTTTTCTATTCTTGAGCCCCACTTTCATTGCTTAGGTTCAGGCCCCCTAACTAGTGACTATGCTGTAGGAGAAAGAGAGATCAGAGGAGGCTGGAGTCTCACACTCTCCGGTAAATTTCGAGATTAGGGTGGGAGAAGAGGCGCGTGAAGCTAAAGATGCAGGTGTTGCCTTAATGGGCTCTTGCTTCGCGGCCTGGCAGTTTAACAGGCCCTGGGAGAAGGCTGAGGGTGGCTGTTGCCTGTTCACTGGCTAATAAAGGAAATAGAAGCGTGTTCCTCAAGATTGCATGAGGAACACAAGATAAAATAGATGTGCAAATCCATAAACTTACATTCGTAAGTGTTGCTAAATTCCCCAGGCGGCTCCTTTAAGAGGCGGGTCCCCTCCCTGGTAACAAAGGAAGTCCCCGCCCCCGGTAGCCGGGGTGCTCTGTGGCGTCGCACCCTCATTGGTGGGCGACGTGGTGTGCCACCCAGCGGCAGCCATTTCCAACGAGCTGGCGGGGGCAAAGGATGGCGACGCCCGAAGGATGGGCGCAGGGGGGGTCGGGGTCGGTGTGCCTCGCCTTCGACCAACTGCGGGACGTGATTGAGTCTCAGGAGGAACTGATCCATCAGCTGAGGAACGTGGTACGCAGCCAGGAGAGCAGGGGGAGCGGCGGACCGGACGTCTAAATGGTGGGGTCGGGACCAGACCGCGTCCGGAGCTGGAGCGTGCCCAGAGCACATTGCCAATGGCGTCATCAGAAGGAGGCGGGACCCCAAAGTGTTATGGCTGCTGGGGGTGGAGGCAAAGGGGGCAGGGTCTCATGGATATTTCACAAGGGAATTCTAATCAAAATCAAAATTGTTCTCTACTCTCTTTGCCTGGTTGCATAGGACCTGGTAGATAGATCCCTCTCTATTCACTGAGCCTCAGTTTCCCCATTTCTACTTCTTTTGTGTTGAGGCAAAGAAATTGTAATATCCTTTCTACTAGGGACATCCCCTCCCCAGCGTCTAATTTAGTACCAATCTGCGTGCAGTAAGCACAGATGTGGCCCTTGCACATGATAACGTAAGGGCTTCCGACTCCTTTATGTCTCTCTGCTTTTGCTTTCTCAATCAAACCACAGCTTATGGGCGCAAAGCATTGGAGCCACAGTGATCTGGACAGGCATGGTAAAATCCTGGCCAGGTGGAGTTCATGGTTTTTCTCTTTTCATTTTCTGCCTTGATGGGAAGGCTGGGAGATAGGAGGTACCTCCCTCTCAGAAATAAGATGACTTCTTATCTCTTTCTCATTCCAATGGCAGTATGCAGCCCTAGGCATCAAATTCCCTTCAGTTCCCGGAAGCCTCCATTCTTGACCTTTTTCTCAACACTTTTTCATCCCTACATAGTGGTCAGAGCTCGGGTCTGTTCTGATGTCCCCTTCTCTAGAAGCAGTTCTACCCTTTCCCAGGCCGGGTCAGGGACCACCTCTGGACGCCACTTGGTGCTTCTCCATCACAGCACACACTGTGTTACAAGTGCTGGCCATGGGCTGTCTCTCCTATGAGACTGGTTGCTCCTTGAGGGCAGGGCCTAGAGATGAGCCCCAGCGACTTGTGGGACCGAATTCTCCTTCCCCAGGGCCCTAGTCTCATCCTGGATGCCCTGGGCATCATCCCATTATCCACCCTTGCTCCTGGTCTCTGAGCCCCAGTTCCTCCCTGAGCCAGGCTCTATTGCAGATGGTTCTCCAGGACGAAAATTTTGTCAGTAAAGAAGAGTTCCAGGCAGTGGAGAAGCAGTTGGTGGTAAGTAATGGCCTCTGCAGGTTCCTAATCTTGCCCTATTTCCCAGAATCCCTGTGGTTGAGCAGTCACTGAGTATTGGACTCTGAGAGCCTTCAGCCCCCAATAATGAGGACAGAATCTTCCTGTACTCTGGCTTCTGTGTGGCCCTCTGAGTAAGGGGGCTGGTTAAGGGAGCTTAGGAGACCCAAGGTCGCTTGGGTAATAAGGTCACTGGTGTTGCCCCGGCAGGAAGAGAAAGCTGCTCATGCCAAGACCAAGGTCCTCCTGGCCAAGGAAGAGGAGAAGCTTCAGTTTGCCCTTGGAGAGATAGAGGTGCTGTCTAAACAGCTGGAGAAAGAGAAGCTGGCCTTTGAAAAGGCGTGAGTGGGCCTCGGTAGGGGTGTAAGGTTAGGGGTCCCATTAGCCTGTCAGCCTTCCCATCCTTTCTTATCTTCGCCACCCAGGCTCTCCAGTGTCAAGAGCAGAGCCCTGCAGGAGTCCAGCAAGAAGGACCAGCTCATCACCAAGTGCAATGGTAGGCGGGAGGCCCGTGTTCCTTCCCAAGTTAACATACACGGGCTCTTCCCTAACTGCCCAATGCCAGTATCCAGGGCAGGGTTTCACCCCAACTTCTGTCCCCGACTGAGGATACAGGCAAACCCAAGCGGGCCACACCTTCGCAAATGCCTTCAGGGACCAGGCAGGCCACGGAAATGAGGGAAGCAGTTGGTGTACAATATCCTTCATGGCCATAAAGGAACGGGCTCGCTCCCAGTGTTTTGAAACGTACAACTTTCTTAGTCCACCTTTTGTTTTCCACTTTTGATGGATATTAGAAATAATGTACTCTACTCATAACTCTGATACAGGTGCGATGGTATCATGGAACAACAGGGCGCGCACAGTCCTATTTGAGAGCTGGCCCTTAGTCTCAGGTTTGGGATGAGTGGGGACTGTGGTAATGTGGAGAGCCATGCTCTCTCCCAAGGGCTTAGCTCCTCTGCTGTGGGAATGGGGTCCAGTACTGTCAGAGCTTTAAAAAAAGAAACTAGGTTTTAATGGAAGTTTTTCTGAGTTTTTAGCATTGTCAACTGATTTAGAAGCTTTAAAAATATGGTATGGGCCAAGTAAAAGTATGCCTGTAGGCCATTAGTTTTCAGCTCTGCTCCATGCAGATGCTTGTAGCTTCTTGGCTCAGTTGGGGCTGTGAGTTGCAGGGCACTTTCAGTCAACTACCCAATGTCCCTAGACCTCAGGAACCACTTTCATTTTCCCAGGATGCTAAACTCCCCTTACTTAGCTTAAGAAGTGGATGTGAATTCCATACATCTGCTTCATTCACTGCAGTAGATTTTGAGTAGGCTAGAGCCCAGAGCTCAAGCCTAAAAGAGGTTCCTGCTGGGCCCCACCTGGAGCCCTGGGCACCCTCTATCCTCCAATCCAGCCTTCTCTCTCCCCTGGTGAGTATTCTCACTGGGAAGTTGCCAGCAGACTACCATCTTGATCTGGCTGGGTAGGCTGACAGGCTTCATGGTTGTTTCATCAAGAGTTCCCTTTAAGGCCTCTTGGGGCCCAACAGGCAGGCACTGCCTTCATACCCAAGATACTGGTCCCTAGTCCTTTCCCTCTCTCTGACCCCTTCCCACCCCCACTTCCCTAAAAAGAAACCTAGACATCCTTCCTTTAGGGCATTTCCCAGAGCGCAGCCAAGGCTACAGGGCTCTGCGTCTGGACGGTGTGTGTGAGTCAGGCTGATGGAGCCTGGCTGCCTCCCCTAGAATGTCCGGCATCTCTCCAGTGGGCACAAGCCTTCACCTGAGCAAATCAGGTGACCTGGCCTTCTCCTCACCCGTACCTCCCCGCTGCCACCTCCCTTTGTGTGGTTTCAATTTGGTTGTACTTATATAGTTCTGAATCTTGTCAAAGGGCTTTTCTAACTATTCTCTCATTGGGTGCTATTTATTTTAATTTATTTTAAAAGAGTCACACAAATTTCTGATACTTTTTCTCAAGAGAACTTCACAAGCAATGAGTCTGGGTTAGCTGGACGCCCTGGGGAAGGAGTTATGATAGTCCTGTTCCTATGATTCCGTGAGCTCATGTTTTCCTTCTCTTTGTTTACCTGTGTCTCCTCGTTTTCTGCCAGACCGTCTCTTCTGAAACCGTAAATGCTTTGGCATGTCTGCATTTTCAGAGTTTGTGTTCTAGTTCATCTTTGTCCAACCGTTAAAGGCAGTGGGATTCTCTTCCCGTGAGGATCAGAATTTTCCAGGGCTTCCTGAGGGACAGTTATGTATATGAAGCACCCCCCAATCCTACAGCCTCATTGGATTCTGACCCAAGTCACAAAAATCATCCTGCCATCTAATGAGCACTTAAGTAGTGGGTAAGCTTTTCCACCACTAATCTCCCTGGGTCCTTCCCGCCCCATATAGGCTGTCTCTGTCCCCATATTATATAGATGAGGACATGGTTCTGAAAAGGAGACATCTTGTCCAAAGGGGTAATACTGTCTCACCAGTATTAACGTCATTGAAACGTCATCTTATTCTGTCCTCTGGTCAGTTCCTGATTCTTTTTTTTTTTTTAAATATATTTTATTGATTTTTTACAGAGAGGAAGGGAGAGAGATAGAGAGTTAGAAACATTGATGAGAGAGAAACATCGATCAGCTGCCTCCTGCACATCTCCCACTGGGGATGTGCCCACAACCCAGGTACATGCCCTTGACCGGAATCGAACCTTTCAGTCTGCAGGCCGACGCTCTATCCACTTAGCCAAACCGGTTTCGGCCAGTTCCTGATTCTTAACACTCCTTTCAGGAGCTGCGGCCTTGAGGGCAGGGACCCTGCACAGGAGTAGGCATCTGGCTGGCCCTCGGTAGGTCTGGTTGGATTGAGATGACTGAACTAGGTGATGTTTCTATGTCCTAAATCCTCAGGGGCCATCCTGTTCATTCATTCCACAAATTTATTGTGCACCTACTATGTGCCAGGTATTGTTTTAGGCCTTAGGGTTAAAACAGTGAATAAAACAAAAATCCTTATCCTTACATCCTAGAAGGGGAGAAAGTAAATGAGTAAAATAAACGGTATGTTAGGTAGAAATGCTAAGGAGAAAAATGAAGCTTTTCCCTGCTTTATTTTAATAGGAAGCATTAGGAAGGGTTGTAATTTTAGACTAGGAGAGGTCTCACCAAAGAGGTGATATCTGCAAAGATCTGCAGGAGTTGAGGCCAGGAGCTGTTCATCCTCCTGCCTGTGGGCAGGGCGACCACCTCTCTCCAAGGGCCTTTGCCTGCCTTCATGTGAGTCACCTGGTCCAGAATAGAGTTGTGAAGTCACTGACACATTCATCAGACATTGTGTCCCCACCACCCCATCAAGACTCCATAATAAACTCATTCTCACTTAGGTATTGGCAGCTACTCGTGGAGAGCCTGTGGGTGGAGGGAACCAAGTTCTGAAAAGACCTGTGAGGGAATGAATGCCTTGTCTCAGGAAGGAGCCCATGGGATGGAACCACCTCCTCCCTGCCTCTCTCCCCCCACAGAAATTGAGTCTCACATTATAAAGCAAGAAGATATACTTAATGGCAAAGAGAATGAGATTAAGGAATTGCAGCAAGTTATCAGCCAACAGAAACAGATCTTCAGGTGAGGGGTCATGGACAGGTTGGGGGTTGTTGATGGAAGTGGAGATCCAGACCTCTGGTCCCTATCTTGGGCTGTCCCCAGCCCACGCCCAGCCTAGCCGGCTCCTTGCAGGAATCACATGTCTGACTTCCGGATCCAGAAGCAGCAGGAGAACTACATGGCCCAGGTGCTAGCCCAGAAGCATAAGAAAGTCTCCGGGACATGTCAGGCCCGGAGCCACCAGCGTCCCAGGGAAAAATAAAATAATCATTACCTTTCTGTTATCTGGTTGTAATCTGACCTCTGATTTCTCTGTTGTGGGCATTCCCATCCTGACCTTTTCTATCCTTCTCAGGCCTCACCAGTGGCCTGACCCCAGGGAAGGGGCAGGATAAGAGGCAGAAGGCACTTTCCTTCCCTCCTCCCTGCCTGTCTCATGGACCTTGGTGACCTAAGTGAGAATAAGTTACCACAGACTGGGTGGGGAACAGGCCTTGGACCACCACCTACCAGGGGGCCCATGGAGTTATGGGGTTGCAGCC